AATGGATCCAAAAATGCGGAAGCAAAACATAAATAGGTCCTTAGAGATGTACATCATCCCTAAGACATAAGAATGGCCCTTCAAGGAGTTTCGAGGCTCAACGGAAGCAAAATGAAGACAAGGGTATCAAAACCCTACCAAAAGAAGGACCAAGGTTTAATTGGTCATTTTACCCTAAGAGGAAGGAATTTAATTTCCGACAAGTCAAATGAGATCAAAACCATCCAAAAACATCCTTTGGTAACTTCACATGAAGTCCCAAGGCCAAAGAAAGAGAAATCCTAAATGAACCCTATCCCGGTTCGAACCAAATCTAACACCCTCTCACTAAAACAAGGATATCTCGAGCTAAGAGAAGAATCTGAAACTGAAATTGATACCATTGGAAATCTTACTTCAATGCGGTCAGTTTAGACTTAAGAACACACCAAATCTAAGTTGAAACGAAAAAGTTACCACAGTTCAAAGTTTGAAGGCCAAAGCTGAACCTGCAAAAAGGTTCTGGAAGACTTGAACCGGTTCAACATTCTTGAACTAGTTTAACATGGACAGAATGTCTATGTTAGACCCAAAATGACTCTCGAACCGGTTCAGCATTTCCTGAACCGGTTCAACCTAACCAGAATTGAACCTAAACAGTAAAAATGCTGAAAAACCAGAAAAAAATGAGTTTAAAAAGCAGTTTTTCACACCAAAACGACATTTTTTTTAAAAATGCCATGAAAAAACTCCCCCTAAAATCACATTTTCTATATGACAATGTCGAGACCAGAATTTATTTCCCAAAGGAAAACCCCAAAATGCCCTTAAACCAAAATATGCAAGAAAAATGTGAACTGAGTCCATAGGAGGCTCATTTCACGAAAGAAGGAGTTTTTCATGAAAATGATCATGCACGCAAACGTAAAATGATGTTTTAGACACGCTACAATGGCCTACAGCATCATTTCAATCCATTTACAAAATTTGACCTTTCAAACCTCAATTTTCACAAAATAGGTTATTAAGGCAAAACTTGAGTTTTAAAAGCATACATATAAACTTGAAATTTAATGACCCTTGACCTCATATTATACATACAAAAAGAGTATCAAAAAGTGTACATAAATACACATTACATGAAGGAAGCCATCTTAGCTTCTAAATTACCATACATCCATGGTGTACAAAAGTATAACATCTAAAAGTAAAGCATGTTAAACAAGTGCATGTCAATATACGAAAATGTTCCAAATTGCTCATAAGCCACTATAGATGATGAGCATCCGAGAACATAGTCTCCTTACCTATAAAATAACCCACATAAACTAGGGTGAGTAATCAAGTTACTCGTAGGAAGAAGCATATGCATATACCCTAAAGTTTCAATATCATTGCAAAATCAATATAGACGAATACAAGGAATCATTCCACTTAACATCTATGTTCAAGGTGTTCTAAGGGATCATATTAAACTAATGCAATGATTCCATTATAACACAATATTAATATCAATGTACTTAACAACATTAAATCGCCAATAACCAAAATCACAAGTCACAATTAAGCATTGATTGTCAACTTTGAAATGAATGCGAAATCAAGTAGTGGAAAACTTGGACATCAAATCTCGGATAAAGCCAAGACCTAAACGGTTATTTCGGGCATTGACCCGCTGGGAATACCACCCTAGTGCGTACTATAAATGGGGAGAACTTATACCTCCCACACTAGAGCCAAACTCTAGCCATGTCATTTGTAATAATGTCCCAAGAGAATCCAAAATCATTATTAAGTTCAAAACTTATACACAAATATTAAGACATATATACCACCTTCCTTGCAAAAGTATTTTGAAACCACACAAACCATGTCTTAGGGTTCCAAGTCTAGAATGACATAATAAATGACAAGTCCTTATCATGATATAATGTACAAAACAATATCACCAACTTATCAATTTAAATCATGCCTCAACAATAAGCTTTATATACTAATTCTTAACATTTTAGCAATAAGCTTCTAAAATAATCACAATTAGTCATCAACAATAATATAGAATTATCCCCATCATAAATATAGCAATTCAAGTCACTAAGAATTGTATATAATATTAATAATTCTACAAGAGTTCTATATCACTACCACATGAGAAAATACTAGAATTTAGCATACTACTAAATCATATAATCCTTCTATACAAGGTATATACATATTACACATGCTTAAATCAATAAACCCTAAGTCAAAAATGAGGGTTTCCTATAATATGCAAGACTATCATATTAAAAGCATGTACACAATATATACTAAACCCAAAAGGACTTAAAACATTTGAAGTACAAACATACTACCACCCCTACCTCAATAGAGAATTGAATTTTTATAATCCCAAGCAACTAAGCTCAAAATGGAAAACAAAATAAGGGTTTTGAAGAGGAGAGTAAGAGGAAACTTTGTCTTCCCAAGTTTAATGGTCTAAGGTGAGTGGAAGGAGGTCAAAATGAAGAAATAAGTTATAAACCAAGCTTTTCTCCAATGGTGGCTAGGTTAGGGTTTTTAGAATAAGTGTAATGAAAAAGATGAAAATGAAAATGGTGAGTGGAGGATCTAGTCTTCCTCCACTCACTATGTGCTCTTACACTACCTCTCACATACACACAATGCAAGACTAAAATGTGAGACTACACTTGTCACAAATCCAAGGCTCCTTCCTAGGCTTAATCCTAAGCCTACACTTGTCAACCATCCAAGCCAACAAGTGCACCAATCTTAGGCCAACAATTAGGTGAATCTCCACCCTCCACATGTCACAAGATTATGCTTCTAAGTCTCCCCACCCAAATGCCAACAAGTGGCTCCATGAGAGTGTGACACTTGTCACACTTTTCAAAAATTACAAAAATGTCCTTTTTCAAAATATCTTCCAAATTAAATTGCAAAATGGTCCCTAAGATGAAAAATAATTACTTTTTATAATTACACTAAAACCCCAAAAATTAATAATATTTCCAAGAAAGTATGTATCCATATCCTTTACGAAAAAGTAAGCAACTAACATGCATTTCCTATTAAAGTAAAAATACAATTATCATAGAAATCAAATATCATGGATGCATGTAAAGCCAGACTCAAATCCGAGCACAAAAAGTGAGGTTATGCAAGGAAAAATGATAAACGAGAAAAAGACAAAATAGGGAAAGGACGAAAAAAAGAAATTACCGAAAAAAAGAAAGGAAGGAAAATGACCGGGTCATTACATGGTTCAACCATACGAAGTGCCAAATTAATGTCCATTCACCCCAATGTTATAAGGATTTTCTCCTTCCAATCAGAATAATTATCACTAGTTAAAAATGGGATATGAGATGAACCAATATTGACAGGTTCCATATGGAACTACTGCAAAAATAAAACATGCCAAACATTACTATACTATAAACATAAATTTTATTAAAATTCTTAACCCATGTTAAAAAAATTCATATTAAAACAATGTGTCATTATAACCTTCTCGTGGGCAAAGCCGCAGAGGTTTTAATACAATAATGTTTTGAAAATATAATCATAATAGGATAAAATATTCTTTAATGTCATTAAATTGATAATGATATAGTCTTGTGGGCATTTGCATTCATTTCTAGTTTAATTCCAAATTCATTTTATCCCCATTTCCCTATGGGGAAGAATAAAATATTTTTATGAATGAAATATAAACCTTTAATGCATAATCTTTATGTGATATAAATATCATATAGTAAAATTTTATTTTATATCATAGAATCAAACAACCAAAGATATTGTGGCTACTCTCTAGTTAGTATGCATTAAAAGAATGAATATGCATTAAAATTTAAAACAATAATTATACTTATACTTTAATAAACTGAATTTATGAGAGTATACTGCACAGAAACTTTAATATGCAGCTCTGGAGTATTCTTCATTTGTATAGATATTTTTAAAGCTATACAACTCTAGACCATTATGGATAACTGACAATTCTATAATATTCCACGCATTCATTATAAAAACATTCTTTATGGACTTACGATGAGATTCTTCCATCTTTAAAGCAGTCATGAAACCACTCGGGTCTGAATCACTTTTATTATAAAAGGACAATGTTGCACCCACTTTATGAATTCACGATGAGATTCTCCAATATTTAAAGTAGTCGTTAAACCGCTCGGGTCTGAATCACTTTATTCATCGCAATCCGTTTGGGTGTAATATTCCATTGTAACCAAAAAACTTACCGACCAAAGTAATGAAAATGATAAAGAAGTATCAAAAAATATTACAAACTAGGGGAATAAAACCACACCCATCAAAAAAATAGAACAGACCAAACAGAACCACCAAGGAAATATTAGAGGCCAGAGAGAATGCCAACATAGCCGTTAAACAAATGTTACAGGCCAGAGAAAGAGAACGGTAACATAGCCGCTAAACAAATATTACAGCAATATAAACAGAACGATAACATAGCCTAAAGGTATCGATGTGATACTAAATGAAAGAAAATATTAATCCCTAAAACTAGATCACATACCTCCAGCCATGAAATCAGTGTTGTTAATGCTTGCAAAAACAAAGTGAGAAATCCTCAAGATGTTCACGCCTATATAAGTCTTTATGCATGTACTTCATGAAGACAACACAGACTGCTACTTGTTAGGCATGTGACCTCTGTAAGGAAACTGTATGAATAAATCAATAGAGTAAACAATCCATCATGCAAACCCCTTACTTTATTCTAATTCAAAATAGTGGTTATTAAACCACCTTCAACTTCCTAAAACCACGATGCTGTAACTTCCCAAAACTGTAACGCTGTGTCAGACCTAGTGGGTTAGAATATCAATGTAGTGTGGCAATGTAGGCCACATCACATGTAATAAATACACGTGTCTAACATATCCTTCTTGCTTCATAAATTTTCATTCCCAAAATTTGGACCAAAAAAAGCAAGGAAAATCTTTTTGTCATTGTGCACGTTCACAAACCACAACCTTCACATGACTTGGTCAAAAGCTATATCCATTAAGAGCTCGTTTGGGATTGCGTTTGTAGCTTGTAAAAGCACGTTCAATTTGAAAAATAGTGTTCAACAGTGTTTGGTAAATAAAAAATGCACTTTTAGGGGTAGAGGTTTAATACAAAAAATTACATTTTGATAAAGCTGGAAATCAGAGCGTTTAAGCAGAGTTTGGTATCTAATATTTTTTTGTACAATATAACCCTCCTTTATTTTCATAATTACAAGACTATTCGTGATAAGAAAATATATATATATATATATAAACTATCAAATAATGAGTACTGATCTCTTGCTCGCCATGGAGCAAGAAAATTCTTCCGCACTTTTTATAGTGACCATTAGATTAAATCTAATGGTCACATTCTAAACCCACCTACAGTTTTCCTTTTATGTGACGGTCCAAGTTTTTTAACCCGGTGCGTCAGTTATGAACCGAAAGATGACCCGATAATGGATCCGAAATGCGGAAACAAAAGACAAAACAATGGTCTCTAGAGATACAACATGGCTCTAAGACACCATTATGACCCTCAACGAGGGCACGGAACCCAAAAGAATCAAATGGGGAAGCAACGTTTCAAAAACAAACAAGATTGAACCTAGGGGCAAAATCATCATTTTTAGCTTAAAAGTGGGTGCCACCGAGTACACTATTGGAAAGACAACGAAAAATCAATGAACTTAGACTCAAAAATCGCTTGATTTGGAGTCCGGATGAAGAAGATATGGCTTACGGAAGAAGAAGGGGCAAAACGGTCAAAAATAGCAAACCCAAGAACATCTAACCAGTTAGGAGACCTTCCTAACCGGTTAGGAGGCCAAAAATTATGACATACACACTGCCCACACTCATCTAACCGGTTACGAAACCCCTCGTAACCGTTTAGATGTGAAGGCGGCAGAATGGGCAGCAAGAAACCTTTGCAGCAGGGGTTTTTCCGTAAAAAATGGAAATTTAAGGGCCTAGATGACATTTTCTGGAAAAACTCAAAGAGGAAACCCCCCTCAAAATCAAGTTTTCTACATGAATCTTAAGAAAAATCAAAAAAAATACGCACTGTGAAATGCCCAAAATGCCCTCCCAAGAAAACTGGTCCAGAGGGTCCAAAAAGCTGCTAAATTTAAAAACTAAGAGCTGAACTTCGGGATCGATTTCCGATGCCAAGACGACATTTCCCGGAAAAACACGAAGAAGAAACCCCCCCTAAAATCATGTTTTCTGTTCAACCATGTGAAGAACAGAATTTATTTCCCAAATAAAATTCCCAAAATACCCTTAGGTCAGATTATGCAACAAAAGTGTAAAATGAGTCCGTAGGAGACTCATTTCACCAAAGAAGAAGCTTTGCCCGGAAACGACCATGCACGCAAACGTAACTTACCTAGTAAGATGTGCTACAATGGTCCATAGCCCAAAAATATGGTCAATACAAAATATGACCCCCCAACGGCCAAAATGCCAAAAACGAAGTTTGGAACGAAAACTTGGAATTTAAAATCATGAGATGGTTTCAAAATGTCGTTTGGCCCTTGGCCACACTTCATACAAGATTAACAAGACCCTAGGGAAGAATCAAAATAGAATTCCCACACCCAATACAAACATGGGTAAGCAAAAACTCAATATTTTTCAATACTTTCATAATATTCCATGAAGCCAAAATTTACGTAGGATACAAATTACATGTCATTGGCCTCCGGCCTCATTTCATACATGTCAAATACATCGTAAAGAGTGTACTCATGTACACATTACATATAAGGAATCAAATGTACACATGTTGACATATAAGACTACAATTGGCATTCCAAGCCAACCTTCACCAAAAATGGAAGTCTCCAAGTCCACAAACCATCTAAGCATAATGAAGACCTCAACTTTGATTCTTGTACCTGATATATGCCCCAGTATCTTAGGGGTGAGTAACATAAAGCTACTTGTAGGAAATGAGCATGCATCGACCTAGCGTTTTACAAATTATCATATTATGGCGAAACATGTTAAAAGGCTCATGCCACCTAACGTCTACATCAATGTGTGACTCGGGGAGCATCTTAAGCTACCTAAGATCATTTCTAGCATGAAACACATCATTCATGCAATTCAAGCAACATGGAAGCATGTTATACAAAACAACAAGACATAGATTTTCAAAGTTATGAACTCGAAATCTAAAACACAAGAATTACCAAAATGGGTCATGCCACCTAACGTCTATGTTCCAAATGAAATTATAGGATCATTCCTAAGTCATATTTGAACATCAAAACACGAATCATGATATCAATACACTTTAACCAACATTGGAACTTCCAATGCAACGCATAAAGCATGATTTCACAAAGTTAACATCCTACAACAAAATGTGGAGAATCCAATAAGAAACAATAAGTTATAACATCATATAGTTATCAACTTGAAACGAAATGCGAAATTAACCAAAGTGGATACTTAGACGTCACGCCGGATCAGACGGACACCATAGTTACTTTAGGGTTACTAGCCCACGGGTAACCTCCCTATGTGTGCACTAGACTATATAGAGGGACAATCCCCCGTACTAGAACCAAGTCCTAGCCGTAGCCAAACAACGACATCCCCAAGTTTTCAAAATCAACAAGTTGTGCAACAACGTATATATCAACATGTATGTACAAGATATCAACTATCTACCAAGCACAACCAAATTTAGAAACATATACAATACATGCACAAAGTTCACAACTACTATGGCATGAAAAATGTCCGATACAAAGAGTGCAATTTCTTACATAAGGCAACAACATATTCATTAAGGAAAACACATTCTCATGAATATTAATATAACAACTATGTTATCCAATGCTCAAAATATAACCAAGTGAACATACAACAAGTCCAAGTCCATGATTTAAACATAGAAACAACTTCCAAAACGTAATAAAATCCATGGAGCAAATATATAGAATTTAATTAAGCAAAAATAATCAAATTCTTTAGATTCTAAATTAATTCCAAACAACCCCAAATTAATATATGTTGAAGGACATGTCATGATTATCACATATATAACTCCAAACGACCAATTCAGTGATTAAAACACTTAAAACAAAATTAATTAAGCTAATTAATTAATTTCCTCTAGATTTTTAAACAATTCCAAATGCTCTCAATTTAAGATATGTTAGAGAACATGCCAAGGCCTATCTAAATATCATATTACAACTTGATTTCATGCTTGTTATGACCATGTGAATTAAACTTTCACCAAAGATAAATATTAAATAAAATTTGTAACTCTTAACCAAATGATCCAAATTTAATATATGTCAACAACCATACCAAAGCCAAATTTTCTAGCATGTCACAATCTAATTCCAATTTACATATCATCATGGAAATTAAACCTTAAACAAAGAAATTAATTTCTAGATCTTGAACTAAAGCATACACACAAGTTGTATAAGCTCATATAATCATCAATACAACACAAATATAATCCTAAGACACCCCCTACCTCCATTTGAGATGAAATCTCAAATCCCCACCAAAATAAATCGGCTTCGAATCCGACGAAACTCCTAGGTTTTGTCGGGGATAACACCACGAACATGAATCCCAAGGAAGTCCCATCAAAAACACAACTTGACTTCAAACCCGAACTTAAGAAACGGCCAAAACAAGATTCCAATCAGTTGGAATCGAAGGCCTCGCCGAGGGGAATAATAAACACAAAGGCATCACCACTTTTTAATGAAGGGAAGAAGTCCAAAAGAGGAGAGAGAAGATGGCAGCCATGGATGGAGCTTGGACCGGCCATGAGAGAGGAGAGAGAGAGAAAAATCTGATTTTTCTTTCTAAGACCTCCTATTTATAGAAAACTCAAAAAGTATCCCGAACGGGCCCCGCCGGGTCCGGAAAAGTGGAATTCGTGCAGACGCGCTCAAATGGCAAAACTCCGTGAACAAAAAAGATTCCAAATGAGAAAATATGAACAACGGAAGAAACAACGTTGAAAACAGAGTCCGAGTAGAGAGTTATGCCCAAAACAAGTTTGGCACAAACCGGTGCCAGAAATCCTGAAACTGGAAAACATCGTCCAGGAGGAAATTCTAAGAGTCCACAACTCGACGAAATGTGAAAATGAATCCCATGCGAGCATCTAGGCTCAAAATAAGGCATTGAGTAATAACTTTCATTAATTGCACAAGGACCCCTCCAAAAAGTAAAAACTGCGAAACTGTCCCAGAATGAAAATATCTTCCAAAAGATATTTTCTTAGATACCCCTGAAATAAAATATCTTCAAAAGATATTTATGAAAAACACCCCAAGAAAAGAAAAAGATTCCAAAGAACTTTGCATTTATGCCCCTATAGGCACCGGGAGCAACCAGAGTACTTTCTCACGAAAGTAAAGATACGTATCTCATAGAAATCATTGAGAATGAAGATACGTGAGGTCAGAAACCAATTCCAAACACAAGAAGTGTGGTTACGCAAACAGAGTGACAAACGAGGAAAAGACGAAATAGGGAAAAAGACAAAATAGGGAATAGTGTCGAAAAACGAAAAATGTGGGAATGACTCGGTCCTCAAAGGAAGTTGTCAATCCACAGAAAAGAGTCTCGAAAATCACTCCAGAGCACTCGAGACGACACTAATCGACAAGAAACCAAACTCAGAAGGGAAAAGACAACAGAAAAAAATTTATCCGAAAAATTCGGGTCATTACATTTTAATACAAAACCACTATCAGTATTTCTAGTTTCTAAATTTAACATTTACCAATACAATTAATTATAACAATAAAAGGTAAGTACTAAAAAAATAAAAATAAAAATCTATTCACCTCTTGAAATCACGTCTCACCATTAATTGAAAAAAAAAATTCTATAAAAAAAATTAAAAGTGTTAGAAAATTGCATCCATGACTTGATACTAAAGTTGACATTATCTGTTTGAATGTAAAAAAGAAATTAAAAATTACACTATTGACATACAAAACAATGAAACGTCGACTAAAAAATAATAAAAAATTAAAAATTAAATCTACTTGATCAACTTAATGTAATTTGTGATTTGCACTACACTTCACTCATAAAAAAATTAATAGATTATAATTTAAATTATTGTATACCTCCCTAAATGCATGTTATTTAAATATTAGAAATTAAATCTATTTTTCTCTAACTCTTTTGTCACAAATTTTAACTAGATGTAAACACATTCCAATTACTCATCTGTAATAATGAATCGCACAATATATTTTTTTCTAGTTCTACTATAATAACAAAAATTTATTGACGTAATGAGGAGATTCACAACAAAACATGTTATTATTCTATTAAATTTTAGATTTCCTTCGTAAATTAGTTGTTTTCCTTAATATTTTCTTTAATACTGCTATTATTATACTATCATTATTTTTATTTTTTTAGTACTTACCTTTTATTATTATAATTAATTGTATTGACAAATATTAAATTTGGAAACTAGAAATAATGATAGTAGTTTTGTATTAAAAGGAAATCATATAGGTGGGTTTGGAATGTGACCATTAGATTTAATCTAATGGTCACTATAGAAAGTGCAGAAGAATTTTCTTGCTCCATGGGGAGTAAGAGATCACTACTCATCAAATAATAATGTACAAGTAAATAAAAGTGTTTAGTTGGAACTCTGTCATCGTATAACACATATCTTACATATTATATTATATATATATATATATATATATATATATATATATATATATATATATATATATTGAACATTTAAAGAGAAGTATAATAGCGTGAGGACTACTATTGCTAGCCTGATTTCATATCCGATCTCCATTGAATATTTATAGCCTAATTTTCTATTTTTTACAATTATAATGCAAATTTACATTTAGCTTATAAGATTCTAAATTATAAATATTTTGTAAATTACATTTATCTAAAAAATTCTAACTTGGATTTTTCAAAGACATTCGTAGTATCTGAAGATTTTGCATTTATGTATTTGTTAAGAATCCTTTATAAAAGCGTATAAGAGAATTTTTCGAGCTATTGATTTAAGAGAATGAAATTGCATCTGGCTAATGCACACTTTTATTATTGTATGGGTAATTCAGTAAAATTAGTAATAAAAGTGTTTTAAGCAATATTGTTACCAAACAAATTTAACACTGCTTTAAGTATAAAAAATTATTTATATAATGCATCACCAAACACCTAACATGTTTTACCGACAGCACTTTTATGACAGCTTTACTCATAAAAGCGGTTTTATCATTACAACAGCAACGCCAAACTAGCACTAAGTCTTTAATATCGTGGTTCAATTCCTTTTATCTTGGAAAGAGACATCGTTCTTACATGAGTAAATCTACTCTTAAGGCAGTGTATTCACACGCATCAGGTAAAGTTCATTATCATCATATAGTTATTTTCTTGTTCTCAATTGTTTCTTACAATTAAAGTAGTGCCCTATATCTATATTCTTTTAATTTTTCGAAGTCATGTAGGAAGCGAGCAATTAAAGGACAGAAGTGGTCGGTGAATGTCGGTTTTCTTACGAGGAAATAAATAGAGAACGAAAGTGAGAAATGTGGAATGGGGCAAATTAGTCTTTGTGCTTTAATTATATTTTATATTAAAGTATAGTATTAAAATATTAAGGAAAAAAAATGACATTTTGTAGGATTTTGCGTCCAAAGGGGAGATCAAAGTAATAACCATCAAATACTATACCGTGTGTAATTTGACAATACTTTAGGGAGATCAGTATAATTTATTTTTTCTTTTTTTTCTTTTTTTTCTTCAAGGAACTGAACCAAAAGTCAAACCAGCACAATTAGAGCCTGGCCCAAAACATTTACAAAAACCATGGCTTAAGCAGTGTGTTCTTCTACAACCCAACTAGTTTAACGACCATTGAAGATCAAACTCTTGGTCAGAAGACAGTCACTTGCAGAGAACATACTCTGCATTCCGAGCAGTCAGTTCGGTGGTGGCCGGAATAACCAACTCAACGACCCCTCTCTCTCTCTCTCACACACACACAGGAATGCCCACCTCTTAGTACACATTACCTTTTTTTGCTTCACTCCTTGACTCATGTTTGTCCACAAAGAATTTGATAAAACTGAAACAAACACACGCGAAAATCATAACTATAGGAATTTCCCACGACTTTATAGTAGCGAAGCTCGTCTCTTCCTACGGCGCCTGTGCCCAAATGGTCGAAGCCACCTTCATATTTTCTCTCACTAACCGCCGATCCACCTTCCTTTACAATTCCCTCATCAGAGGCTTCTCTTCCCTCAACCTCTTCTCTCAGTCCCTCTCCGTTTTCCGCCAAATGCTCTTTGCCCGCAAACCCATTGACCGCCACACCTTGCCGACCGTTCTCAAATCTTGTGCCGGCTTATCAGCTCTCAGATTCGGCCGCCACGTCCACCTGGTAGTTTTGGTAAATGGGTTTGGTTCAGATGTTGCAAATTCAAATGCGTTGATTACGATGTACTCAAAGTGTGGAGATTTAGTGAGTGCCCGGTGGGTGTTTGATCAAATGTCTGAGAGGGACTCGATTACTTGGTCGGCAATGATGGCAGGGTATGGGAAGCACGGATATTCTGGTGAGGTAGTTGTGTTGTTTGAACGGATGTTGAATGCAGGGATATTGCCGGATGGTAAGACTTTTACTACGGTTCTGACAGCATGTAGTCACGGGGGTTTGATGGATGAAGGGATAGAGTATTTTGAGATGATGAAGGGGAGGTTTGGTGTGAGGCCAGGGTTGGAGCATTACACTTGCATGGTGGACATTTTGGGGAGGGCTGGCTTTGTTGAGGAAGTGGAGGCGATGATTGAGGTAATGGAGGTGGAGCCGGATGAGGCTCTGTGGGGTGCAATGCTAGGGGCTTGTAAGATTCATCGGAAGGTGGACGTGGCTGAGTGGGTGGCTGAGAAGGTCTATGGGAGGAGATTGAGTGCAGCATCACTGTAATTGGAGATTAAGTGCAGCATCACTGTACTTGGAGATTAAGTGCAGCATCACTGTAATTCTTGTTTTTAGAAAGCCAAGGTGGTATCATAAATTTGTTATTTGTTTGTGCTCCATTGCCCTTCTTGGTTGCCCTGAGAATTGCAAAGTTATGTACTCCCTCCTTTTCCAAATTGTTGTTCCTATTCAATATTATAACTTCTTAAGAAAGCATACAATTTAATGAATTTGTCTTCTTTTAAAATTTCAAAACTACTCATTTAATATACATTGTAAGTTTTCAAAAGTGAATATATTTTGGAAGTATATAATCAATCTTTTTACATTGACTTTTACAATAATTTTAAACTTTTGGAAAGTACCAGAGTAATGATATAACTACTACTTTAGGCAATTTATATATATTAGCTATCCAAGCACCAAAGTTGTTTTACTACTTTTAGAGCATTCTAGTTACCAAACTAATCTAGCAAGCCTGAGTAGGTAAAATGTCTCTGTTAGTGATCTGATTCAGGGTGGCAATTGGTGTAAACCTCCATTTCTGAATAATGCAGCAATCATATTCTTTATGTAATATTTTGTTTTCAAGTGATACAAGTTGCTGTTGATTCCCTGGAATCATCGGACTTGGAGTGCTGCCTTTTGATGATGAAAGACTATTGAATCCTGTTGGTAGATGCCTGCGACCGAACAACATTACTTGAAGGAAGTGTGGGAGACGAATCTGCCTCAGGAAAGCTCTCAAATCAATAAGTTTTCTTACTTTTACTCTGTTTTCAATTTCCAGTTACAATATGTTTATTTTTTGTGCATGAATTTCTCCGAAGACTAATTTGGTTTGGTACTATAAAACAATAAAAACCAGACATTTTAAACTTCAAATCTGTGAGGAATAAATGTAGAAGTCCATATAGAGTTATAAAAGGAATTGGTTCAATCTGATTTGGAGCATGGTTAGGCCAGCTGATAGTTTTATTTCTTGTCTGATTGTGTAATAGAATTCCATGTTTGACAAATCTGCAACTTAGAGGTATTTATCTAACCATCGTATTCCATAATTGGAATGGAGTCAGGTAGAGAATTTAATTTTCAACTAACATTTGTCATAATTGCATGAGCAATGGAGTCTGGTAGAGCATTTCTTTTTCAACCGTCCTTATGCTCAAGAAGTGTGGAAATGGTTAGCTGTTTTTTTTACAGTGGAATTGGAATAAGATATCTTCATTTGACCAGCTGATATGTTGTTTGAATCTAAGTTCTAACATAACTCCATATGACATAAATTGTGGCAACCTTGTGGGCGGGTTCGAGCGAGGCATTGGCAGGCTACAGGTTCACCCCACATTGCTTGAGTGTGGAAAGGGGAAGTGTTATATATGTAGGATTGGTACACTCCAAATGGTACGAGGCCTTTTGGGGTAAAACCTAAGAACAAAATGCCCTTTTGAACGCCTTTTAATCAATTATTACTTATCAAAAAAAAAAACCCCAAGAACAAAACCATACGAGGCCGGACCCAAATTGGACAATATCATATCATGTGGCAAAGTGTTGTAACAAATGGTATTAGAGCCTGATCGAGCCGGAAGTGTGCCAACGGGGATGTCAGGCCTCTTAGGGAGGTGGATTGTGGTGATGTTGTGAGCAGGTGTGCGTGGGCGGGTGTGAGCGAGGCACTAGCAGGCTACAATATTGGCAGGCTACGGCTACAGAATCCCACATCGCCTAGGTGTGGAAGGGGAAGTGCTATACATGTAAGATTGGTACACTCCAAATGGTACGAGGCTTTTTGGGGTAAGACCCACGAACAAAATCGTGCGGCTCGGACCCAAAGCGGACAATATCATACCGCATGGTGGAGTGGGTCGTTGCATAAATTGTGTGATTTTTCTTATTGTTCTCATCCCTTTATACATCACATAGTTCCACACTGCACACATAACAAACTGGGATCTCACAAACACTTGCACTGGTGCACAACCTCAATGGCCCTAAACATAGCCCTCTGTAGCAGCAACTCTCCTCTTCCTCCTAACCCACTTCTTCATCTATTTCCTCCTCTTAAACCCCTCTCACCACTTCCCACCTGCCCAAGAGGGTTGCTGATCTTTGGTGCCCTTCCCCAACTAGGCAACAATGGCCATGTTGCACTAGGTAACATGGCCAAGAAGTATGGACCCGTCATGTACGTCAAAATGGGCACTTGTAGCATGGTCGTGGCCTCCACTCCGGACGCTGCTCGGGCGTTCTTGACAACCCTAGATCTAAATTTCTCAAACCGTCCACCGAACGTCGGTGCAACCCACCTCGCCTATAATTGTGGGGACATGGTGTTCGCGAATTATGGGCCTCGGTGGAAGTTGCTTAGAAAACTAAGTGACCTACACATGCTTGGTAGGAAGGTTGTGGAAGATTGGTCACATCCGAGCCATCAAGCTAGGGCATATGCTTGGGACTATGTACGATATGAGCTGCCATGGAAAACCGGTGGTGGTGCCGAACATGCTGTGCTACTCAATATCGAACATTATTGGGCAAGTGTTATTGTGCTAGCTTCTGCTTTTCATTTTTTTGTATTTTCTGCTTTTCGTTTTTCTGTATTAGGGACGCGTTCCCCTTTTGAACGTTTTTCTAATATATCTTTACTTATTAAAAAAAAAGTTTTATTGTGCTAGTAAGTGTTTGAATTCTGAAACGAAGGACTCAAAGTCTAATGAGTTCAAGGACATGGTGGAGTTGATGAGCACAACGGGGTATTTCAATATTGGTGGTATTTATACATTCGATAGCGTGGATGGACTTGCAAGGGATCAAGCGTGGGATGAAGTGGTTACATAAGAGGTTCGATGAGTTGTTGTCAAGAATGATAGAAGAGCACAAGGCTTTAGCTTATGAGGGGAAGGGAAAGCCAGATTTCCTTGACACTCTAATGGCTCATCAAGAAAATCTGGTGATGAGAAGCTTACTATGACCAACATCAAAGCACTGCTATTGGTAAACCCTACAACTTTAGTTCTTCTCTCTCGCTAGATAGCAACATTAACTATAGAGTAATGCAATCATGAGAGCCTCTCATGACAAAAAGCGTGAGCTCTCCTTATTTAACCACTGCATTGAGACCGTTTCTTAAGATCTGTGAAAAGTCAAATGAGTCATTTAATAAATATTTTAATTCAGTGGTTAAATAGGGAGAGGTCATCGAGAGAGGGCTCTTATGATAGCATTACTTTTAACTATCTATGTCAGTAACCAAGCACATACGTTAGCATGAAGGGAAATTATAAAATTGCCGACACTTGAAAGTCGGGTGTCTCATATAGCAGTGGAGTCCACCATAACTGTTGTGGTGGGCCCCACTCTTATGTGAGACACCTGATTTTTTTAACTATGCTACAATTGCCGACATTGCCACAACAACTGAGAAAGAGGAGAGTGTATTGGGTCCACCATCTCATATCCCTCAGTCTCTTAGTCGGTGTCGCAATGTAGCCAAATTTTGAGTTTTCCATGAATTTTACATTTGAATCATTATGATCTAAATAGAACTAGAAAACCATGAAAGTATTGCATTAATTAGCTAGTTTTTATTCCATGCATGCACATAGGAATTACTTTGGTGTAATAATAAGATGCAGTGACAGAGTGAGGAATTTGTTTCCGGAGGGGTGAATTGATAATGATTAATTTTTTTTTTTCAACTAACATGACAACCAATAATGTAAGTGTTGAAACACTTATATGTATATATGTATTTATGCTGCGGTCTTACTGTAATTAGATATAGGGTTTGTGGCCATTATGTAATTAGGCCTTTATTGTATTGTATATAACTCCCTTTATGTTTTAGGGTTAAAAAAAATGAAAAAATGGGCTGAGCAATTAGTCTCTCTCTCTCGCTGTCTCTCCTTCTCTCTGTATCTCTATATTCATTATATACAAATCTTCATTTCTACATGGTATCAGAGCGGATCGAAATTGTGAGTGTGGGAAATTGCAATTGCATTGTTCTTGTATAGATTTGTAGATCTATTTAGAGCTCGTGACGGTGGTGTTGTTGCCGTTTTTTTTTTAGTTGTGGATGAGCTCGCAGCCTTCTCTTGTCGTCGCTACTTGTTGCTCGTTGCTTGGTCTCAGATCTGAAACCCAGTTTGGTTACTCGCGTTGTTGCCGTTTTAGTTGTCAACAAATTCACCGCTTTCTCTTGCCGTCGCTGCTTGTTGCTGGTCACCGGCGGCTGTCGTCGTCGTTGCTGCTGGTTGTTTGGTCACTGACGGCTGTCGCGAGGTGCATCGCTGCTTGTGATTCCATCGCCGCTGCCACTGCGTACTTGCTGGAGAGCTGAGAGACAAATGGTGTTTGGCTACAGGGTGCTCGCTATCCTAATCCAGATTAATATAATCCGGATTTGTTCTGACCCGGTTTAAGGTCCGAACCGTTTGACCCGATCCAAGATCCGGACCGTTAGACCCAATCCAAGATCCGACCCGTTTGACCCGATTCAAGATCCGGCCCGATTTACTTACCGGGTCTGTTCTGCTCCGAGTCTTCGTTTGTTCCCGAATTCAACTCTGGTCTGGCCTTCTCAGGTGCAACAAACTTCTTTGGTTCCTCGCTACAGATTTGACATCTTAACTTGGCGGAGATAAGTTTTTTTTTTCTTTCCATATTCATATCTCTATGCCGGACGATTCAAATGTTGCTTCTGGGTCTACTGGAGTTAAATCTTCTGCAACATATGTTGATCCTGTTGGGCTGCAAATTACATCTATGAAATTAAGTAATTCCAATTACTTACTATGGGCTCAAGCAGTAAAGATTTCTTTAGGTGCCCGACGAAAGCTGAAGCTTATTACAACTGATCGTCCATCAAAAACATCAGCAACATATGAGGAGTGGGAAACTGATAACTATATGGTTATGTCCTGGTTGTGGAACAGTATGGAACCTTCAATTGCATCCACTTTTATGTTTGTCAACACTGCCAAGGCAATCTGGGATGCAGTTAAAGAAACTTACTCTATGGACACAAATGTTTCTCACATATATTCATTATATGAAAAGATATTTCATTCTCGTCAATCTGACTTCTCTGGTCAAGGCCTTAGTGAGTATTACAGTAATTTCAAAAGCCTGTTAGATGAGTTAAATCAATACCACCCCTTGACTACTGATCCTGATGTTCTCAAGCGACAACGTGAGGAATTTTCTGTTTCTATTTTTCTTGCTGGTTTGCACCCGAACCTTCATAATATTCGGGACCAGATTCTTGCAGGTGATGGAGGACTCCCATCTTTGGGTAACATTTATTCCCGTTTACTTAGGGTTTCAGAACAATCACATGTGACGCCCACTAGAGTGAAAGAAAATTCAGCTTTCCACAATCCTCTAGAGGTCGTGATAGTCCTAGTGGCAACAGAGGGTATGGTGGAAATTCAGGTGATACTCCTAGTGGCAACAGAGGGTATGGTGGAAATTCAGGTAGTTCTCGTGGCGGTAGTAGCCGTGATAGAAGTCGCAATCGCCGTGGTTGCGGACGTAGTGACACTCGTATGTGCAGCCACTGTAAGGGTACTAACCGTTCTGTTGAGAACTGTTGGACTCTTCATGGGAAACCAGCATGGGCAAATCAAGCAGTGTCTTCCTCTGACCTTGCAGGGTCTCATCCCTCTCTTCGTCAGATTTCTGGATTACCATCACTTGCATCTACTAGTGACACTGTGACACTATCACTATCACGAGCTGAGTTCAGTGCATTGGTCAACCGGACACATCCCAACTCTACTGATGTAGTTAATTTTGTGCAATCAGGTAATATTGCATGCTTGTCCGATTTACAGACTTCAGCATCCCCTTGGGTTATTGACTCTGGGGCTTCTACCCATCTCACAGGTGATGCCTCTCTATTTTCTAATTTTTAGAAGTCTAGTTCCTCATCTTTTGTTACTCTGGCTGATGGTAGAACATGTTCCATTATTGGCCAGGGAATAATTAAATTAACCCCATCCATTTCTTTATCCTCTGTGCAATTAGTTCCAAATTTTCCCTTTAATTTATTATCTGTAAGTAAATTGACTCAAGCTCTGAACTGTTTTGTCACATTTTATCCTTCGTCTTGTGTCTTTCAAGACCTCAACACGAAACAGACGATTGGTGGGGGCAGTAACAGAAATGGCCTATACTATTTGGATTGCAAACCTTCCACTGTTGCTTTACATTCCCAGATGTCTGTGTACCAGTGGCATTATCGGTTAGGTCATCCCTCGTTGCAGTATTTGAAGTCTGCTTTGCCTTTCCTTGAGTCGGTGTCTATTTTAAATTGTGAATCTTGTCAGTTGGGTAAGCACCATAGAGTGCCTTTCCCTCCTCGTATTGTTAATCGTCGGTCTTCTTTATTTGAATTAGTACATACGGACATTTGGGGTCCCGCTCGTCACACTAGTCACTCAGGTTTTTCTTATTTTGTTACCTTTGTTGATGATTATTTAAGGATGACTTGGTTGTTTTTAATAAAAGACCGTTCTGAACTATTTTCCATATTTCAAATATTTTTAAAAGAAGTTGGGGTCCAATTTGGGTGTGTTATACGTACTTTACAATCTAATAATGCTATGGAGTATGTCAAAGGTGCTATTTCTAGTTTTTGCGACTCTCGTGGTATTTTGCACCAAACTTCTTGTTCTTATACTCCTCAACAAAATGGCGTAGCTGAATGGAAAAATAGGCATTTAATTGAAATAGCTCGTACAGTGATGATACATATTCATCTTCCAAAAGCATTTTGGGGCGATGCTGTTTTAACTGCTTGTTATTTAATTAATCGTATGCCATCTTCCGTTCTTAATTGGAAATGTCCTTATTCCTTTGTTTTTCCTACTCGACCATTATTTGCATTGCCGCCTCGTGTTTTTGGGTGTGTGTGTTTTGCTCACATATTACGCACTGGTGTGGATAAATTGTCTCCTCGTGCCATCAAGTGTGTCTTTATTGGATACTCTCGGACTCAAAAAGGTTATAAATGTTGGGATCCTAGCACTCGTAAGGTTTTTGTGTGCATGGACGTTACCTTTTTTGAGGATACTCCTTATTTTTCTTCACATAGTTCGTCTTTAGAAACCGAGCTACTGCTTCCGTTGCCTATTGTGTCACATTTATTACCCTGTGACCCACCACAATCACCTCATGTGCCACCGCCACTTCAAGTGTATAGCCGTCGATCACGAGTAACCCCCCTCCAATTGTCTACTTCCATTGAGGCTCCTCCTGCTACTGATGATCTTCCTATTGCATTACGTAAGGGTGTTCGCTCATATGTCACTGCACACCCCATATCTAACTTTGTTTCCTATAAAAAGGTATCGCCCTCATTTTCTTGTTTTTTATCCACGTTATCTGCTACTGCTGTTCCCAAAACTGTGCACGATGCTCTATCTGATACAGCTTGGCTCAATGCAATGATAGATGAAATGGATGCTCTTCATTATAATGGGACATGGGATCTTGTTTCCTTACCCCCCGGTTCCAAAACGGTTGGTTGTAAGTGGGTCTACACTGTCAAATATCTCCATGATGGATCTGTTGAGCGATTGAAGGCTCGCCTTGTTGCAAAGGGATACACACAAACCTATGGTATTGATTATGATGAGACTTTTTCTCCTGTTGCGAAGATTTCTTCTATCCGAATCCTTATTTCTATTGCCGCCAATCGCAATTGGCCATTGTTTCAATTAGATGTGAAAAATGCTTTCTTACATGGTGACTTACATGAAGAGGTTTACATGGAGCAACCACCTGGATTTGTTGCTCAGGGGGAGTCTCGTTATGCTGTATGTCGGCTTAAA